ATATTTACATAGATTTCATAATCGAGAAATGGCATCACGGTCTTAAAGATCACAACTATCGACATTTTACTTATTTCTTCAAAATATCTTAGATGTTAGATCTTTGGAAATACATTCTTATATCATATCATTTCCTGATTCCATCAACCGAAAATAAAAAAACTTCCTCTACAAAACAAACATAGTTATCAGACGAAATCTTCCAAACACTTCCTATTTTATATCTGGTACATATTTATCTAGTTTTATCGTTTTAAAAAACAAACTCGACACCGAGCGAGTCGTCCCATTCACTGCAGCCAATCGTGCGTAACTTTCAAGTCACGCTTTATATTACAGAAAATATCAGAAGTATTAGTCACGAATTTATTAAATAATATTATGTTAACATATATATTTACAGTACAGTACAGTACCGGTCATAGGTATAGTTACTAAAAAGTAAGTAAAAAAAAAAAGAAAAAATGGGTAGTCCATTCGTGCACATGTAATAAAAAGGTATGAATATGATGAGAAGGAGTGAAAACAATATGACAAAGCGAGTGATTTGAATAAAGAACGATGGAAAGGTACAGGACGACCAAAACAAAGATAGAAAGACGAATGATTAAAAAGATAACGGAGCTTATGATAGAGCAGTTATCATTTGACATCCAAGCACTAAAAATATTAACGGTGTACCCAAGTATTAATTAAATCATATATTATAAATAATAACAAAATTTAAAAGAAATAATTCAAAAAGAAAGGTCAGTGACACTTCTGAGTAATTTGTGCATTGTCTACCACCTGTCACCGGTCACGACAGTCACCGCTCACACCTGTTCGATTCCCGGCGTGTCACTCAGGTAGTCTCATTTATTCCGGCAGTAATGTCCGCTCTTTTGACATTTTTTAAACCCGAAACTAACTGTTGTCAGTTAAGATATAAATATAAGAACTTTTTGCTTGAACTAGATTTGGAGATAGTGTAATGGATGCTATTAGTGATGGAGATTATAATTATATTTATTAAAAATATAAAAAAAAACGTTTGAAAACCGACTTTAACCCCCTCTTTTTTTGACGTCGGCGAATTAATATAAAACGTTCTAAGTGTACTTAACAAACATTTTTCTAAACACTACATCAAAATTGGTTTAGCTAAACGCGAGGTAACCGCACACAAACATATATACAGGTCAAATTGAGAACCTACTTTAGTTCTCCTTCTTCCTGAAGTCGATTAAAAATTGGGGCATTGATGACATTGACCATACTCTATTACTGACCTTGAGATACGTAAGAGAAAAAACATGGGTGATTGATTTGTGACCTTACGAGTAAACATTTTTCCTAAAAAAATTACATTATATTAAATTGTGTTGCATAAATTGCCGGGCAAGGGGTTTGATTCCCGGGTCGGGCAAAGTATTACTGGGTTTTAAAAAAATCTCAGTAGCAGCACGGAGTCTGGAAATTTGCCCGGTATATCGCAATAGGCTATATTACATGCGACTCATAACATAAATAGTGAAAAGTGGGTGTTACTTCTGTGTGCACCTCTGCCTACCCTTTCGGGGATAAAAGGCGTGATGTTATGTTACATTAAATTAATGGTCTCTTTGAACATCAAAAGCATTAAAAACAATTATGTCGTATAGATAAAATATTTTAGTCAAATAATATTACGACTATTATTTCATACTTCATTAACTTTCATGAAAACACATAAAAAGACATTAATTTAACTGCTAAACATACATCATACAAAGTATACACAAAATTATATGTTGTATCTTTTAGTATACATTAAGAGAAGTATCTTAATTACTTTTTTTTGCAATTATGATATAATTGTATACAAAGTCGTACGTCTGTAAAAATTTTTAGAAATGACTTGATGTTAATTTGGAATTACACTTTCTCTGGTGCCAGTGTTACATCATTAACGTTGTACAATATTAGAAAGAATTGAACGAGAAGGAACAAAAAACTTTATTTTGTTCTAAAACTCTAGTCATTTTCAACCGATTTCATTAAGAAAAAAAAATGAATTTGGTCTGTATATATGTTTATATATTTGTCCGCAATTATCTAAACAGATTTTGATACAGTTTCCAAAAAACTTGCCGCAACTTTAGGATTTTCTCCTGTGTCGTGGGTGCGTTTACAAACATACAAGTTCACATACACAATGACACCCAGACCCGGAACAACAATTTGTGAATTTGTTCCGTGCGGGAATCGAACCCGCGACACGTTGCACGGCAGCCGGTTGCCCAGCCACCGCACCAACCGTGCAGATATGGTTTTAGTATATTACTTAACCGACTCCAAAAAACGAGGGTTTGTAGTTGACTTTTTTAAACGTAGGTTATGAAAGAATTATTTATATAGTTGTAACATTATTAATTTATAACATTGACCTATATTTCACTATATACAGATTAGTAACCATAGTCTGACTATAAGTTGAAATAAACTTGTATTAAGTTCTATATATTACGATTCAGTACTAAAATTTTTAAAATTGATAACCCAATAATAATCTCAAAACAAATTTAGAACCTCATGATCAGCAGTAGCTTCATTCATCTGTGTATGTGGACCAGTAAAGCAACTAAAATTATATTTGAAAGTTATTAAAACTCGATCAGCACACGTATTTTTAGAAATGTAAATCATAGCTTGCTGCATCATTACGCAGATTCACTGACAAATAGTTTCGCAATGCAGTGATGGTTACCGAACCATTGCACATCTTCAGACGACCTTGGCATTTTATTAATTATATAAAAAATACATACAATCTAAATCTTGCAACTTTCGCATTCATACATATGTATTAAATGTATATGTATGAAATTATTTCACTTTTATTCAGTTGTTTACGTTACTCAAGGTCTCGAATTCGATTCTCTGGCTGGACATGTATGTAAATATATTTATATGTGTTACTCAATAATAAGTGTAACGGTTTTATAATATACTGCAAGAGACATTATGTAATATACATATATTGGTGATATAGATTCGCATATATTACATAATATGTAGGGTTGGTTAATTATTCAAATATGTTCACTTCATTTTTATAGGATATTTCAGTTAAGTAAAAACGCGGGTTACTCACGTGAATATACTGAGAAAAGCTCTACTAGTTTCGAACCACAGAGGGGTTCTTCCTCATGAGCAGCGTGCGCGGTCGCGGCGACGTCGCGCAGCTCACTCATATTATTGTATATTCACGTGAGTAACCCGCGTTTTTACTTAATTTAGTATGTCTCACAATAGTTATTATAAAAAGATATTTCAGTTATTGAAATTATAGTATATATTTTATATGACACGGTATTAAATTATTATGTAAGATATTTTTAGTATATTTTGATCTAAGATCGTCTTGCCTGCAAGCATTACAAACAGACAAATCAATTAAAAATTATTAACATCACATTTCATATATCTAACTCAAAAAAAAGTACAAACCATAAATTTTAGATTTTTAATATAAAAACTAATTTCAAATGCACAAAATGCAGTCATAATTGGTTACGTCAAATAATTAACGTAATTTTATTTTATGCAAACGGTGGCATAAAGCCTTTATGCATTTCTGTTGCATAAACCTCCTGCCGGAAGTCTAAAGTTATGATGAGAGGTAATGAACGGTCTCGTCCAGTTTTTTATATGACATAGTTAATTTAAGAGCTATGTATAATAGAGGTATATGTATGGATGATGACGGATGACTTAAACCAATTCCAATTTTTGGGTAGGAAATAAGATACGATGATATTTTTTATCAAAAGATGTTCCATTATGAAGTGAGGACACCAAAATAGTCAGATTCAAAGTAAAAAAATGGTAGCATTTTTTTATCTGTACGAATATAGTGAATATGACATAATTTCTCATCCGTGGTACATAGAGCGACAGAACTAGACACTCTCTATCGAGATAAATATAGAGAGTGGACATTGTAACGAGTTGTATAATACACTCGCGTATAAAGTAAATACCTAGGTGAAAACTCGCCGTGTCGTCTACACTTCACGAGAGCCGCGCGTTGATGTCTTTTATACTACAAAATTCCTTTCGCAAATCTGACCGAACGGACGAACCCACGACCTACATTTCAAGCACACATTTCTGTATTTTTACATAATCTTTTTAAATTTAAAATATGTATAAATGTATAGAAAATGTATAACTGTATATTTATACGTTTTTACATCATTATGCTGGTGAAATTTTAGCATTCGACGATTTACATTCTCCGATGTGAATGATCGTTTAAAATATTGTGTTATGAAATTTTTATGGGTTTTTATTTGCATGTATAATTGTTATTGGTGTCTTTTTACAAGTTCTTACATTAATATGTATTGACAGTTAATTAATTACGTTCAAAACTATGTAATTGAAAGCTGTTATATACTATGACAGCTTTATAAATAGTCGGCTACGTATAGAGAGAAATTGAACGATCAAGCGTTATTTTTAAATAACGTGCGGACATAGGTACGGAGGTTTTCTAAAACTTTTACACATGTGTTACTGAAGTTCGATGTTTTTAGACCATTAACGAAAATAGAAAAACAAGACTCATAATGCTTAGCTCAAGTCATTTGAGATAACATCCGGAAAATAATATTGAAAATGTGTTTTATACCTCTATATATTTGTTTACGTTTGAATATTTTACAAAATTATTTTGATTCTCTCTACTAAACAATTTCTTAAATTAATTACGTTACGCAGCATGCATAAATATATACATATATATAAACATTGTCCACGTATAAAAACTATTATCACTATAAACAACACATATAAAAACTATTGCTTTTTATATTCCACACCGGCGGCGGCAGGTCACACTCGATCCAAACTTAACATACATCAATTTGACACAATGATTTCCCACTTTTACCAAAACATTTTGAATTGGTAACACCACTTTAACACGAAAACTAAAAAAAAAATGTAGCCCAAAAAATAGGTTGAAAACTTACCCAAAATATTAGCCTCATTTTATCCATACACAGCACTATAGAAAGGTTTAAATATAAAAGTTACTGTCACTGCACATGCGCGATGGTGCGCGCGTCTCCTGCGACTGAACGAGCCGACCGCCGGCGAAGCCTCCCCGCCTAAGAAAGTATACAACCTTCACATTATATATTATGTAAACTTGAAAAAGCGCAAGTGCATTATGGAGCTCCATGAGACTTTTTATAGTATTGTTTGTTAATTTTTTATAGCGAAATATAAACCATAGAGATGTTTTAAAAATAATTTACTTACTTACTGTAAATTGTTATGTCGATATATGTATCTTATTTTGATTAAATGTACCGAAGTCTAAAATTCATGTTTTCTGTAAAAAATAATATATGTGACGATAATAATCACCAAACAATTATATTTTTTTACGTTCGAAAATGAGTTCGTTTGTTCAACCTCTGTTCTTTCTGCGTCTTTCTTCTTGAATGTATATTTATATCTGGGAGTAAGGAGAATAATCTAGGTTAATTCAAACTAACAAAGTTGTAAAATATAAATATTGTTGAAAAATATTATTTGAAAGTTTCCTAAATCAAAGACAATCTTCTTCATAAAATAAAATTAATTTTTGAAACGCAGTTCGCATGTGCGTTGACTTCCAAACTTTTGCAGTAAACTTATTTTTTTTAAGCTTAAAAAAATTGCATTTAGTTTTTCATAATAATCGTTTTCGTGTCAGAGAACGATTTATGATATTTTATTTATATATAATGAGTAGTGAAACTAGGTCAATCAAATCATAGACCCAAAAAGCCGATTCCGTTTATTGAACTGCATCTTAATCTACGAAAACAATAATATAGATACATAGATTATTTCTTTTTTATCATTCTGCAATTTTGTTTTCAAGAAAACTTGCACAAAGAAGTATTAAAAACTATTTTTCTACCAGGGTGAATGAAACCTCCTTGCACCAAATGATAGTTGGCACATTGTGAAAAACGTATTCCTTTCTATCATTTTCAATTTCCAATGACAACCAATTTGATGAACAAAATCATGCGTGACGTTAATTATTTTTTTGTAATGAATTTATTATAGATTTTTTATAAAATATGGCCAAACGTTTAAAATTGGATGTGTTAAATGTATTATCAGGATATCAAAATTTTCATAACCTTCTTGCGGGTCAGGAATCAAGAATATATAATGGATTTTCTAGATTGGTCGTTCCGAGGCCTATACCGACACGTAGACCGGACTGTAAATATTACCAACAGGACTATGTAAAAAGGCCGACACAAGACTTCGCTAAACTTGTTCTTTCAGAACCATTGAAATACAAAACGATGACGCGCAAACTTTCGAATACTCCCCTAACTGGAAAATGGCTCACTACGGTAATAAGACGTTAATATTTTATACTTTGCTTCTAAAAGCTGCTACGAATTGTAACAGGCGTGTAATCGTAGCTAAACGTATGCATATACCTACTGTGCGGGTGACAATCATGACAGGAGTCAAACATACCTACTATTACTAGGACAAACGGCTGACGAGGCTCACTTCATAGGTTTTTCATAGTTTCACCTCATAGATGAATAATTGATCTCATTGTGCTTGATTATATACCTCCTGTCTTCGTATTAATCAAAGCGGTAATAAAATAGGCATATCTAGCCGTGGTAGCAACGTGTCTGTCACACAGACAGCTATTAATCGTACAATAAAGAGAGAAATCATTGTGCCGTGGTTCATCTGTTACAGATAACTTACTAAATTACATTTAAACCTAGTTATAACTAAATAACATCTCTGTTTTGTCATTAACAATACATATCATACATAATGAATTAACATTGATTACCATTGTTCCCAGGTGCACAGCTACCCAAGTGTCCCGCCCGGATGCGGTATCCCGTCGGGAAACTCTTACAGCTTTTACTATGACGTTAAGAATCCGAAATGTCCTCCTCCTGCACCCAAAGTTCCAGAAGATCCTTGCTGCAAACCAAAAAAAAAGGCTCCCGTTTGTCCCGAAGAACCCAAATGTGACCCCTGTGGTAAAAAGGTTAAGCCGCGAGATCCATGCGAACCAAATCCACGCAAAGGGAAGTGCAACTTCACTGTCCCAATGAAATTATGCAGATTCTATAGTACTAAAGGATGTCCCAAAAGGGGTGACGGAGGTGGTAAAAAAAAATGTGGCGGTGGAGGAGGAGGAGGAGGTGCCAAAAAAGGTAAGTGTGGTGGAGATGGAGGTGAAAAACCTAAACCTTGTGCTAGTAAAAATAAATCTGGCGGTGGAGGTGTTTGTGGTGCTAAAAAATCAGGAGGAGATGGAAAACCAAAAGCTTGTGGTAGCAGAAAGAAATCAGGCGGTGGGGGTGTTTGCGGTGCTAAAAAAGGAGGAGGTATGAAAACAAAATCTTGTGGTAGCAGAAAGAGTTCTACCAGATCGTGTGGCGCAAAAAGTGGAAAGGAAAATACGTGTGCATCACACCGCGCTAAACTCCCGACCCGAACATGCGGTGGGGGGGGCTCAAAATCGGGAAAGTGCGGGGGGGCAAGAACTAAACCTAGCAAGTCCAAGTGCGGAAAGTAAAGTGGATGGATTTATTTTATATTTATTTGTGAGAAAAATAATGTTGTTGACCACCGATTGTTACCTGTGACTTTCATTTATTAAATTTTTATAAAAGGGCTGTTATTTTTTTTTATTTCCGTCTTAACATCCATAACTATTTAATATTATTGTTCATGCTATGCTAGTTGAAATCTAGAGCTCAATATTAATCTTAGATCTTTCTGGTACAAGTGTGGTACAAGGTTCTAAGTGTGGGAGAGCCATGCTTCGGCACAAATGGGCCGGCTCCACCGGAGTGATAACACGGCCTCACAGAAAACCGACGTGAAACAACGCTTGCGTTGTATTTCATCGTGTAGGTGAGGTTACCGGAGGCCCAATTACCCCGAATCCTCCACAATCCTCAAATTCCCAATTCCCAAAAAGGCCGGTAACGCACTTGTAACGCCTTGTGGTTTTGGGTGTCCATGGTCGGCGCCGATTGCTTACCATCACGTGATCCGTCTGCTCGTTTACCGGCTTATATAAAAAAATAACATGTTAATAAGTTTTCGGGAGTAGAGACTGTGTTGAGTCACGTCGTCGCAACGGAACATCGCATTGAACCCCACCAGTGTTGTGACGTCACAGCTACGTCTCAGATACAAAAGTAATGACAATGAAAACGGCTGAAGGGATCAAGATGAGAAGATAGTGTATTTCATATACCTACATTTGAAATCTTGACCTTGTATAACATCTCAATGCAACTAGAGTGTGTCTGTTTGTATGTAACACTTATATAGTATGTGCATATACTTCAATTAAAGTAATTGCAGCTTCCGACAGATTTAATTTTTATTTTCGTTACCTTGACACACATATCTGGAACTGAAAGGATATTTTTAATATATTACTGTCTTTAGAATATCGTTTTTTTATCTTTATTTTCCTAAGAGATAAATGTCAGCCCCATTATAGAAAAGCATACGGTCGAATTGAGAACCTCTTCTTTTCTTGAAGTCGGTTCAGGCGTCAGGTATATCTTTACATTATTCTCACATGTGTGTACAATATTCACGAATGACATGTATATCAGCACCGCCCAACTCAACCATATTGTAGGTAATCGAGCAATCCACTGCACGCACCACCGCCAATGAGACCTTTGAGAGAGCATGACAACTCCAAGCTGACACAAATGAAATCTACTAATCTAATTTAATATTAAGTTAATTACAGGGCTCTCACATTTACATTGGTTATATAAGTTAAGCAATATACAATTTAGCAATATGGCTTTATTATTTACGATATCATCAAAACATCAGTGTTTTTTGTTATCCTGTGGAGCCGGATTAGCCTGCATCCAAGCATTTGTATCCACTATATAATCATTAAGTTTGTAATATGCTTGTTTACATAAAGTTTACTTTATATATCATTTAAATTTTGATTCATTTAGGTGTTGTATGTCGCCTGGTATTTTATTATAACATTTAACACAGAATCCCATGAACGACTTACTTACTTTCGCCAATCTCGAAATTGGCTGACTTAATCTATTTTTATGTCTAGTTTGATAGTGGTGTCTATCCGATACTTTACCAAATAACTGTAGGTTTTTCCTAACATACATGATGTTTTCATAAATAAATTGACATGGAATGGTCATAGGCCCGGCGCCCACTATCGGTGGGCATCGGTGAAGCTCGGCGACTTCGGACGGTTTTGGCCTACGAGCTGTACCGAGGCAAACTTGGTTGCTCACTTTACATTCGACCTACATGGTGACGGTTATTAAAAAGGAATTCTTTTGTCACAGTCATAAGGTGATAACTGCCGTTGGCTTCGCCCGCGATACAAGTTAAAAAAGTAACCAACCATAACATCACGCCTTTTATCCCCGAAGGCATAAGCAGAGGTACGCATTACGGCCTTAATGACACTGTACAATGTAACACCCACTTTTCACTATTTCTGTCATGAGTCCCATGTAATAGGGGGTGAGCCTATTGCCATATACAGGGCACAAATGCAGACTCCACGTTACTACTGAGAATTAAAAAAATACCAACCCAGTATTACTTTACCCGACTCGGGAATCGAACCCGAGGCCCTTGCCCGTTAGTCGCACTTGCGACCACTCGGCCAACGAGGTTGTTAGAAAGTAAATTACCTAATTTCATTCAGATACATTTAGCAGTCTTTGAGTGCAAGAATTTTCGAAAATGTTTTTATAGTAATTTGCAAAAAAATATTTACACTATCTTTATACGAGTCATACCCTGTTTCGTCAAGTCTATTATACAGGTATACTATGTCAATCTATCTTCATAATATACATAATTTACTTCAAGGGTAATAAAAAAGGCATTAAATGCAAACTCAGTACTTGACTGTACGTACGCAGTTATGCATAAACGATAGCCAATTTAATCGTGGCACAGTAACCGATACGTTGGAGCTATGAACTCGATCGAGTTCAGTAGTTCATAGAGAAGGGACATCGCATCGAATATGTATGTATGTAGGAGCCATATTTTCCATACTTGATGGGTCATAGATTAAATGTAGAGTGGTCAGTCTTTTATACGCACAGACATATATATCTACTAGCGGACCCAACAGACGTTGTCCTGCATATCCACTTGAATGTATAAACAACAATTCATTCAAATTAGTTCAGCTGTTTAGGATAAATAACCTAAACATCGACTGCAGCGCCGTCTGCCGGGCTGATTTGTGAATCTAAACCATTCCCAGATCCCCTTGAACACACACAAAAAATTTCATCAAAATCGGTCTAGTCGTTTGAGAGAAGTTCAGTGACATACACACTCACAGAAGAATTATAAAAATAAAGATACTAATTTTATAAAGCTGAACTGTTTATTTTTTTTTGATTGTTTGAACCCGCTAATATCCGAAACGACTGGTCCGATTTGAAAAATTATTTCTGTGTTCGATAGCACATTTATTAAGGAAGGCGCCGAGCAAAGCGAGTGAACCCGCGCGGAAGTGGCTAGTGTTATTATAACAGGCTTTGCACTGTGGGGGCTCAGGGGTTCTTCCTCATGAGCAGCGCGCCCGGTCGCGGCGACCGACGTCGCGCAGCTCACTGGCTGGCGTTGGCGCTCGCCTCGGTGTTGCTCCTCATGAGGAAGAACCCCTCTGTGGTTCGAAACTAGTAGAGCTTTTCTCAGTATATTCACGTGAGTAACCCGCGATTTTAGTTAAAACATCATCTGTTACGATATTATCTGCATAATTCAAAAAAATATAGATAAGCTGCAATAATTTGCATCGACAAATGTCAATACATTAAAAAGTAACTCGGAATTGAATAAATATGAATAAAGTAACGAGTTAGTTGATTATAAATATCATTATTATTAAATTATAATAATTTAAGTTAATTTATTATTTATACGTAACCTTACGTTTACCTACTTATTGTGAAAGGTCAAGATTTTTGTTGCAATATCGGTGACATTTCACTATTTATTTTCTTTTAATAATTAAAAATAATATTCTTAATTAATACAAGAGAATAACTATAAAATCAAATTACGAAACAAATCAATTTTAACCTCTATTTTTTTTTATGGTGGGAAAATCATCGAATGACTGCTCCCGCCTGGGTGAGGCGGGAGGGAGTGTCAGACTCTTACTGACTAAAAACCACCCCGTTCCTTCTCCTGCACGTCGAGTCGGAGCCCCGGTTACCCGTTAGGTTCTCCGCGACATTATAACCTCTATAGTAGTTTTTCAGAAATTGCTATAAAGTAACATAAAACACGGAAATAATAACTCAATGCTTCAAAAAAATTGAAATCAAAGAAGTCTTTATTAAATATTTATTAGAGAGCGTCCTTATGTCCTTTATTTATCATACTACAAAGACCTGATATGGCCTTTATGCACGCATTCAAGTTAATCTTCTTTTATGTGATATGTAAACGAGCGGACGGATCACCTGATGGTAAGCAATCGACGCCGCCCATGGATACCTCAAACACCAGAAGCATTACAATTGCGTTACCGGTCTTTTGGGAATTGGGAATTTGAGGGAGAGGCAGAGACTGGAGAAGGGGGGCATTTGGGTCTCCGGTAACATCACTTACACGACGAAACACAACGCAAGCGTTGTTTCACGTCGGTTTCCTGTGAGGCCGTGGTATCACTCTGGTCGAGCCGGCCCATTCGTGCCGAAGCATGGCTCTCCCACACTTTACTGCTACTTTATCTACTTACTACTTACTAACAGCTGCAATTAATAAATGATCTAAATTAAAAATCTCGTGAAATCATAACCCCATATTACTATTGTTAAAGTTTTATAAATGTAATTAATTTTCCATTAATATCTACTACCTACTTGTGTTATTCGTTTTTATACTTTTATGCACACACAACGTAAATACGGTGGTTGACAGGAGGCCTTAGTATGAGTTTGATTTACGTTTAAAGTATTCGAAACGAGTACGCGTTCGGCACTCTGATTGGCCGGCGCCAATGAAGCAACCAATCACAGCGCCAAATGTAGTCAAATTCAATACTTTTATTGAAATGTCAAAAACTATAATCTATACTTTTCTATGAATTTTGTATTGGGTCGTAACTTATGACGTCATCATATTTCTGCGTCAAACATCACACTTATTTCCTTAAAATTAGCGGAAAAATATCCAAAAGTAGGTAAATTGTCAAATCAATGGATGAGAGTATGATTATTTTTTAAATATTTATTGCATTGAAAATTTAAAACAATTTATTTTTAAACTTAGGCAACTAGCCAATTGTTATGGAATTAATAAAACAAATCAAATCAAAGAGATCTATCTTAATCCAAAACCTGTGGATTATGGTTCAAGTAGGCATAAAACCAGCCATGAATAAAGTTTCATATCTTCGAAAACTTGTTCTATGTCACCATAATATTATAATGTCTAAAGTAACATCGGTTAGCCAACGGCCCATGGATACAAGATATGGCTACACACCATCATATGATGTAATTATAGGGAATGTATGGAATCCTTACGTCACTTCCTTATTGATAATATTTAAATGTTTTATTTTAACACTAGCTCGCGACTGCGTCCGCGTATATTATGAGTTGCCGGCGCC